ATATATATCTGCCAATGGCACAGATTAAATATGAGCCGATTAGACGGTCACGATCTTATTTCATGTTTGAATTTTCATTTTTTTTCTACAATTCCAAATCACTTGAAATTTGGAGCGTCTATTCTTCTAAAATAGAAGAATTTAAAAAAAAAAAATTGTAAATATAAATTGGCCAAAATACCCCTGATACATTTTGGGGATATTTTAGTCAATTTATATTTTACAAATTATTTTTTTATATTTTTATAAGGTACGCCTTGATGAGAATAATGAATGCCTAAAATTTTAAGTGATTTGGATTTTGTAGAAAGAAAATAAAAATTCAAATACAAAATGAGATTGCAACTGTCAAATCAGCCTAGATTGAATCTGAGCAATTGGCTGACACTGTAGTAGTCAGCCCATGGGCTGACAGAATCCACTCCATATATATATATGTGTGTGTGTGGAAGAGACTACAAAATACGCATGGGCCAAAATATGTATTTTTGCCCATAGGCTTAGTGCCGTTTGATATTTTTGGACAGCGTAGATTAAAAGACTGCAACAGACCCACTATGTCCGTTGTGATACCGTAACAAACATAGCATGCCCATGGTGGTATTTTTTCACACAAAAAATATAGGAAACTGCTACGGCTCCCGTAACTCCGTGACAGTTTTTAAGGCAAAACTGCAACAGATATAGCATGTCCGTGGTGGGGCGAAACACTATTCAATTTCTCCTATAATCGTTTTTAAAAGTTTTTTTTATCTAAGGCAAGGTCGAAGCTTGCATGACCCAACTTTAAACTTTTTCAGTGTGTATAGACACACACTATATATATATATACACTTAAAAATTTTAAAGTTGGCTCATGCAAGCTTGGGCCCCAAGCAGGTCCCAATTGAAAAGCCTATTGACAGGCACAGGCCTGGTAATTGCCTTGTTATGGAGAAAGAGTAATAAAGACATGATGGTTAGATTTAGAAGCGAATAGAAAAACTTTTTATATAAAAGGAAAATGAAAGGGAACACAGTGCCAAAAGATAGCCACTGATATTGTTCATCCACCCAGGATGTAGTTACCCAAGCCAATTCTCTTAGGGCCTGTTTGGATAGGAGGAAGTTAGGAATCTTAGATATTTGAAATCCTAAGGAAATCTATGGATTTTCAATATCAAGGATTTTTGTCATGGATTCCTCAAATCTCTTGTTTGGATAAATTATACAAAATTCATGGATTCCTTGCAATTACTTCCATATCCATTGTTTGATAACAAAACTTGATATAATTTCTCTCTCTAAAAATTTTATATGCTTTCTCTCTCTAAAACTCAAAATTTGGGATAGCGTATCCATAAAAATTTTGAGATATTTTCTATCTCTAAAATTTGATATGGTTTCTCTCTCTAAAATTTAATATGTTTTCTATCCAAAATTTAAAATTTTAAACTGTCTATATAAAAATTTTGAGATAATTTCTCTTTCTAAATGTTTAGGTGCTTTACGCTCTCTTAACTTTAATATAGTTTCTCTTTCCAAAATTTTAAGATATTCTATCTCTAAAACTTAAAACTTGAGATAGTTTCCCTATTAAATAATTTTGAGAAAGTTTCTCTCTCTAAATATTTTTAAGTAGTTTCACTCTCTAAAATATGATATAGTTGTTCTTTCAAATTTTAAGATGTTTTCTCTTTCTAAAAGCTAAAATTTGAGATAATTTCTCTCTAAATTTTTTGCAATAGTTTTTTTTTTCTAAATTTTTATGTACTTTATCTCTCTAAAATTTGATATAGTTACTCTCTTATATTTTAAGATGTCTTCTCTCTTTAAAACTTCAAGTTTGAGATAGTTTCTCTCTTTAAAATTTGATATAGTGTAAAATTTGATATACTTTTTCTCTTTAAAACTTAAATTTTAATATAGTTTCTCTCTAATTTTTTTTGAGATTGTTTCTCTCTCTAAAAATTTCATGTACTTTCTCTATCTAAAATTTGATATAGTTTATCTCTCCAAAATTTTAAAATACTTCATCTCTCTAAAACATAAATTTTGCCATGGTTTCTCTCTCCAAAATTTTTGAGATAGTTTCTATCTCTAAAATGTTTTTGGTAGTTTCTCTCTCTAAAGTTTCATACAATTTTATCTTTAAAGTTTTAATATATTTTCTCTCTCTAAAATTCCAAATTCGAGATAGTTTCTCTCTAAAACTCAGAATTCGAGATAGTTTCTCTATCTAAAAAAGAGATATTTCTTTCTCTAAATTTTTTTGGCAATTTCTCCTTTTAAAATTTGTAATAATTTTTCTCTAAAAGTTTAAGAATACTTTCTCTCTACAATTTAAAAAATATTTTCTCTCTCTACAATTTTAAGAATGCTTTCTCTCTCTAAAACCTAAGATTTGATATAGTTTCTCTCTCTAAAAAATAAAATATGAGATTGTTTCTCTCTCTAAAAGTTTTGAAATAGTTTCTCTCTCTAAAAAATTGATATAGTTTCTCTCTCTAAAAATTTTCATGTACTTTCTCTCTCTAAAATATGATAGTTTCTCTTTAAAACTTAAAATTTGAGATAGTTTCTTTCTCTAAAATTTTGAGATAGTTTATCTCTCTTAAAAAAATTTGGTACTCTCTCTCTAAAATTTTGACATACTTTCTCTCTTTTTAATTTTAATATACTTTCTCTCTCTAAAAGTTAAAATTTGAGATAGTTTCTCTCTCTAAAATTTTCAGATAGTTCATCTCTCAAAAAAAATTTGATACTTTCTCCCTCTAAAATTTTAACATACTTTCTCGCTCTAAAATTTTAATATACTTTCTTTCTCTTAAAGTTAAAAATTGATATAGTTTTTCTCTCTAAATATTTTGAGATAGTTTCTCTCTTTAAAACATTTAAGTACTTCCCCTCTGTAAAATTTTCATACCTACCAAATGCTCTCTATGTTTCGGGTTTAGGGAGCAAATGAGTGAAATCCATAGGCCTTGGAAATGCAAAAAAATAGGTTTTGGTGTGGAAATGAAATCATGGAAAAGTAGGTCTTATTTCCATGATTTTGATTTTCCTGATTTTAAGTATCCTAGTCATTAAGCAATCCAAACGGTAGATTTTGGCAAAATCCATGATATTAGGAATCCATAAAGAATAGGGAATCATAGTGATTCGCTCGTTTCTATATAGAGAACCAGGCATTTGAATCGGACAAACTAGGTGACTACCTTAAATTTAAAATTTTTAATATAATATTGTTTGTTTTTAATATTTTTGATCGTAGACATTGGTCCGATTTGGATCAGTACAATGAGTGCTAATCTAACACCAAATTTCGAGTTTTAAAACATTGATTACACCAACTAACCAAATGGTTTGCGACACTTTCGATGTAAATTCACTGTAGCATCATTACTCTTGCCCAAAGATAATTCAGAGTTAAACCATAGGTGCCTTGGCATTTCAATTCATGAATCAGCCATTTATTTACCACATTTCTGTTTAAAAATATAGAAATAAATATAGTGAGACTATTTATTTTTGATACAAGAATATCACAATCATGATTTACAGTTAGAATTGAAATTGGGTGGTTGAGGATGTCATTGTTTAGACACAACGTACCAAACAAAATTTATCGAATATTGTGACACTTTCATCTATTAGATTTTATATCTTATTGTTAAAACTGATTGTGACTTCCTTGTACCTAAAATAAATGGTCTCATAGCATACAATCCTTAAAAATATTATTATACATATTTATCTGTGCAACTTATTTGAAGACCATGAATACGGTTCAAGGAGCAAACAGGATGAGTTTTCCTTTCCCGTACTCTTATCTACAATGACCAATGAAATACATTGCAAATTTAACACCTTTGTGAACAATTTCTGCCATATTACGTCTTAAATAACCAAAAATTGACTCGTGATCAACAAATCCAATAAAATATAAACAAAACCTCCAATCCACACGAGAATAAACGTTTACACCACGGATTTTTAACATCTACAATCCAATATGACCAGATTCCATTGGTTACTTGGCACCCACAAAGTACATTCCATCTTCATATGCAGATCAATTCTTTGCAGCTCTTCATGTATCTTAGCAATATCAGGATGGGATGTATCTCCTACTAAGAACATGTGCACTTCACTCCCAGTCTCCATCCAACTATACCCAGGTTGCTTTTTTAACCCCCTTTCTCTCATCAGGAATCGTAGTCTAGTTACTTCTCTCCACATTCCCATTGCTGCATACATATTCGACAGTAGAATGTAGGGGCTTGGATTCTGAGGCTGCAAATCGACCAACTTCTCGTAAGCCAACTCCCCCAATTCCACGTTTGAATGAACCCTGCAAGCTCCAAGCAAAGCACCCCAAACGGCAGCATCTGGCTCAAATGGCATCCCCTTGATAAACTCATGGGCCTCGGTTAACCTCCCTGATTGACCCAGGACGTTAATCAGACATGCATAGTGCTCGGCCTTTGGTTGGATAGCATAATCTCGAAGCATAGAATCAAACTGATTCATGCATTCTCTCACCTCCCCGGCATGACCACATGCGTATAGAATGCTAAGGAAAGTAATGTCGTCGGGTTTTAGCCCATTTGCTTGCATCTCTTTGAGGAAAGCTAGTGTTTTTTCATGGTGGCCATTGTGTGCATATGCAGCTATGATGGCATTCCAAGAAACCAGGTCCCTACGAGAGGCATCATCGAATGCTAATTGAGATTCATGGATGCATCCGCATTTGGCATACATGTTTATCAGGGAATTACTCAGTGAGACATTCGACGCAAACCCACTTTTAATGGTGTTTGCATGTGTTTGCTTTCCGACATGTAATGATGCAAGAATGGCACATGCAGTAAGAACCACGATGAGAGTGGAGTGATCAGGCCTGGTACCAGACCCAAACATCTGTGCAAAAAGTTTCAGTGCTTCCTCGCCCTGACCATTCTGAGCATAACCTGTTGAAAAAACGTTGCCAAGTTAAACTGGCATGGAATTTTGATTGAATACTCCACAAACAAGAAACTACTAGCAGTTGGACCTATAAGCAATAGATGATGCGGTACTAAATCTTGAGCAAGTGGTAAGTGAAAGCAAGATAACCTGCTTTCCATGCAGTCAAAAGTACAATGTCAATTCGGCTTCTCACTACCAACTAACCATTGTGTTCAGAATATCCCTTGATCTCAATCGGCTCATTCTAAAATCAAATCTCAGGCAGAAAGCCAGTAAAACGAAAGTGTAGGATCCATTCTAATAGCAAAAATAAGGAAATTAAGGGCAATTAAACAACTAATTATTTTCAGAGGTTCAGATATATAGTCCACAGAGCTTCCTGTGTCCTGCCAAGGGCAATAAAAGATGAAGGTTGACATACTGGCACATAACTAAAAGCTGAAGGTTGACATAGCCAGTAAGCAACTAAATCGGAAAAAATGATGAGCAGCAAATAATCATGGCCTGATATATTAACAAAACTAGGAGAGGATAAATCTATCTTAATTGGTAATGTGGGCTGCAACCCTTATAACCATAAGATTGCAACAAGAAGCACCTTTCAATCAAGGTATGGTTCAGATTGCAACAACAAGCATCTTTCAACCAAGGTATGGTTCAGATTGCAACAACAAGCACCTTTCAATCAAGGTATGGGCTTGAACCATAGAGAGAAAGAAAGAGAGTCTATAGTTCTATACAATTAATTACCCGTAATCATCACAATCCGCACAACCGATTACCTGTGATCATAGCATTCCATGACACACGATCTCTACAACGAATTTCATCAAAGAGTCTTCGGGCATGTACCAGCTTTCGTTCCTTGCAATATCCTGTAGTCATAGCAGTCAGGGCAACCACATTCTTCTTCGGCATCTCCTCAAACAGCTGTTGAGCCTCATCAAACCGCCCTTTCTCCACATAACTATTAATCATCACCGTCCAAGAAACCACATTCTTCTCAGGCATCTCATCAAACAAAGCACGAGCTCTCTCAACCTCTCCACACTTTGCGAGCCCGGACACCATTGACGTATAGGAAATCACATTCCTCTTAGGCATCTCATCAAACAACTCTCGCGCTTGCCCAATCATATCATGTCTCAGAAACCCCGAGATCATCGCATTCCAAGAAGCTATGCTCTTCTTCTCCGGCATCTCATTGAAATACTTTAAGGCCTCCTCTATTTGCCCATTATCTGCAAATCCAGCGATCATGGCATTCCAAGATACTGTATTCTTAGTAGCCATTAAATTGAACATCTCCCTCGCCTTATGAGCATCGCCTTTGCGCCAATATCCTGCAATCATGGTGTTCAAAGAGACTGTATCTCGAGAAGGCATTTCATCAAAAAGTCCGCATGCATCTTCAAATCTTCCAGCTCGTATGAGCTCACTTAATTTGACATTGTAAGAGAAAACACCCCGCCTTGAAAAGCTTCGTCTTTCCCTTCCTCTATTCCCTCTTCCATTGATGGGGTCAGTTGTGGTGGTGGTTATGGCAACGGTAAGTTGTGCAAAGAAGGGGAAACAAAAGAAAACCCAATTGTAGTTAAAACCAGCATTTTGAATGGCTACAACTTGCTTTGCTTTGAGAAAAGGGTAAGAAGTTACAGTGGCTATCATTTCACTTGGCTTTTTGATGGTGGCAATGGGCCCTCTCTCTCTCTTTCTCTAACCATGTGCCTCCCCTGTTTTCTCACCAGGAATCATTTGCCATCATTTTCTTTAATGTATCAACTGTTATTTTGGCCTACTTCACACTTAGATTGCGGATATTTTGGCAATTGTACTCCACCAAGAAGAAGATAAAGAAGGGGGAAGGAAAAAAAAGAAAACAAAAGCAAAATTGAACGACAATAACAGTGATATGTGTACTATAAAGTCTCATGACTTGTCCAAGGAGGGTGTCTTAACTTTCCACTGAAATTTTCAATGAAATCCAACAAGAAGAGTGCGAAGAAGAGGAAGAGAGGACCCATTCCATAGAGATAAGGCCTCTTTTCGCCTTTTTGCAGGAAGAGAAGTGCTTAAGAATCAAACCCAATAGCCACAATTCTCTTCAAAAGTGTCGGCAAGCCTCTTCTTCAATGCGCATTTGTGTTACTTCTCTCTCTTAATATGCTAGCGCCGCTCCACTCGCCCGAATCCGACCCTCTGTCGCCGGTATCCGTTCATCCCCTGCCGGAAAATGCACCTTGGCCCACACCACCTCCTCTTGTAATTCGTACACCGGCTCCCACTCGCTCTCTCACCGGCTCTGCCCATGCACAACCCATCTCTTCACATACATTACCGAGGTCCTCCAGTACACCAACGAGCTCTTCCCGTTCAAAGCCCAGGTACGCCCATGCACCGCCCGGTCCCTCCCGTACACAACCTCACATCGCTGAGCCACCCCACTCGCGTCTGTCCGCCATTAGAGCTCCACTGCCACAGTCTTCTCCTCCAAGGGCTTTGCTTGCCATTGTTGGTGCAATTGCTGCCTTTCTTGCCCTCTTCTGTTTTCTTCTAATTGTCTGGTCCTTAAATAATAAGAGGCGAAACAACAAGAAGAAGCAGTTCAGTGTGTCACCGAATGCTTCCAAACCTGGTATGCTCTGCTTCAGGACTTAAAATTTCTCAAAATCGGATCAAAGAAAAGCATAAAAGATTTATATTTGAGGTAATGCAACTAACCCCAACTGCCTGAAAATTTATGACACTTTGCATGAGTCAAGGGGCCTCAAATTCATGCATGGAGAAGTGGATCCTCTTCAGGAAAGAGAAAACGAAAAGTGATTGCAATTTTCAAAAGAATTGAAATATTATATTTTTTGTAGAATTGAAATCACTTAGAAACTCCATGTGCAAATGCACTTAAAACAAGTTCAGTCCCTGTGATTTACTTTAACGGCAGTTATTTCAGGTGATAGTTCCCATTCTTTTCCTCCTGCCACGGATAATTGGGGTTGGAGAAGCATGGGAGGCCGGGCACAATTCGGGTATGAAGAGTTAGCAGTGGCAACCAACTGGTTTTCAAGGGAAAATTTGATAGGAGAAGGTGGGTTTGGGCTTGTGTACAAAGGGACGCTTGTGGATGGACAAGTAGTTGCAGTGAAGATGCTGAAGCCAATGGAGAATAGCAGGCAGGCGGAGAGGCAGTTTCAGGCAGAGGTGGAGGTGATAAGCCGAGTACACCACAGGAATTTGGTGGCTTTGTTGGGGTATTGCATTGTAGGGGAGCAGAGGCTGCTTGTGTATGAGTACGTCCCCAATGGCACACTACACAACCACCTTCATGGCATGCACTAATCCTCTTTTCTACTCTCTCTCTATCTATTCTGAGATCCTGGATTGTGCAATGGAAAGGAATTCAAGAACCCAATATCTTGGGTTAAGTAAAACAAAAAACTTGGTGTAGAAATCGTAAGAACCAATATCTATGGATATTACACCAGTTAGATTGATTTGAACTTTGATTATCAGCTTTGCTTTTATTCAAACCATGATAAGAATTAAGAAATCGTCTCTCTCTCTCTCTCTCTTGTTCTTGGAGCGGTTTGTTGAATGACAGAGGAGCGTTTTGTTGAATGACAGAGAATGGCGTTTAATTTTCACAATATGATTTGATCTCGAAATCCTTTCTGAAATTTTGTAGCAATTTAGAATAGCAAAGTAACCTTAGCCTGAACTGTGATCTGTGAACTTTTGATCCAATCCAATGAGACAGAGAGGGATATTATGTCCATAACTTACTTTCTGGGGAAGTTTATGAAGCTAATGTCTGTCAATTAATTCAGGTATGGGTGGGGAGGGCATAAAGTGGGTTACCAGAGTCAAGGTCGCCATTGGCGCTGCTCGTGGATTGGCCTACCTCCATGAAGACTGTATATTGCTTTTTTACTTTGCATTATTACAATATGCTTTTGTTGTTCGTGATACTTGTTGATATATCTTCTATTTAACAAGAGTCTTTTTTTGCTTCATTCAAATCAGGTCACCCTCAGATAATTCATTGTGATATCAAGTCTTCAAATATTTTGCTGGATTGTAACTTCAATGCAAGGGTAATGTCGTTCATGCTTTCTTCACATTCCCCTTCTGAAAATTTAATCTTTTAATTTGTTTACTATTCCTGGTGTTTCCACAGGTCTCAGATTTTGGACTTGCGAAGCTTGTTTCTGACTCATATGGCCATGTAACGACACATCTTGTTGGAACTTTTGGGTGAGATCATCTGTTAACTTGTTTGTATCATTCTCTTACAATAAGAGATCTAATTAGAGAACCTGATGTGGTTTTCCCCCTTTTTTTTTGTCTAGCCTATCCTGCCCTTATTCCCAATCAAAACTTGAAAATTAAACCTCAGTGATAATGTGACAATGATGGTGGTTAGTTGGGGAAAGTTATATCCCCTACTAAAGAAAGGAACAAACTTACAATTCACTTGCACAAGCGATTAACTGGGAATGAAGTGAATGATGCTTCTAATACTGTGTTTGGCATAGCTAATTTAGGGAAAGGTTTTAGATCTAGAAGATCTATGATTTAGGTGATTGATTTTGTTCTCTCCTAGAAATAGAGCATTAGATGGCATTCTGAATATCATCTGGATTTGTATTCTCTCCCCCCATATTGTAGGAATGACAGCCGCAATTAAACAATGATATTCTTGATACTATTTACATTGACATAATAAAGTTGGAGGTGGTCAACTTGTCCAATAAGAATAGACTCTTTGATGTGGGATAAGAAATGTCTTTATAACAAGAAGGTTATCAATTCTGATGATATAATAATGACATCACAGAGGGAGCAAACCTTCAGAATTTGACCTCCTAGAGGGAGCACTGGAGTTTCAAAACATATTTAAGTTATCAATGACACAATACATTCCGCTAAGCTAGCGGAAAGTCAAAGAGGTTGGTGCAGCCAAAGAGGTAGACACAAGGTACTTCATCTGGCATATATATGTTATGCTTTTGACAAACCACACCACATGACGTAGGCATAAAGGGAAGAACACCAAAGATAGTTTCTTATAACCTAAGATTTTATTTCAACAAGAGAATGTTCCATGGAGAGCCACATTGGTCATGTTCAGGACTTTGTCATAGAGAACGTCATCCTGTTGGCATTAGAAATGAACTCCATAGGGCCTTTCTCAAAGTGAAAATCTCATGTTAGACTATGTCTATCAAAGTGATCAGTGAGAGTGACCTCCTGGGAATATGCCCTTAAGGATACCCATTTCATAATAAAAGAATTGAAAAGATTGTATAGAGTGAGCTCTATGGAGAACTCATTTCCAGGTGGAAAGATAATCAACTCTTGAAAGGAGGGTCTTCAAAGAAAATAAAGAATCTCATATGAATAACTGAGAGGGAAAGAAGAGGTCCAGATTGAAGGGAAGAGGTTGTAGACTTTGGAGTCTTGAGTTTCACCTCACACCATTTAAAACCTTTGGAGGATTTAGTAAGGGGAAAGTAAAAGTAAATTTTTATTGTCTTGATCCCTGAAGCCTAAGGATAAAAGTCAATGGACCAAATATTTAAGCAATTGATCACTGCTGAGGTGAATCTTCTGCATGTTATTAATAAGTATGTGTTTGTCTAGAGTCATGACCTTGCAAGTTCACATTTACATGGTATTGTTCCTCCTACTTGCACCACTTTCGCCTAGCACCTATAGTTAATACGTTCAAATAGATATCCAGGCAGAAGATGAAATTTTTGGAGAGGTTCTTTTCTAGACTACTCCATCTTAACCAATGTTTTACCAGTTTAGGCATTGTGTTTGCAAAGAACATGAGGTATTATTTTCCATCATGTTTGCCATTTCTTTATATTACGATGTGCTTTCAAATATCATATTCTGGTTCCAAACCAGCAGTCAGTTTGCATAATCGTTGTTTTGTTGGAACTCAAAGAATCTTTTACTATGGGCTTCTAAAACAAAATCTCCTCCCATGACCATCAGAGCTTGTTATACACTGGATCTCTTTTCATTGGAACATTTGTACCATTTGCTAAAATCAAGAACCCTTATAGATGGTGCCAACTATCTTGTTTATGGATATAAATAATTGATTTATAGGAAATGAGTGGCTACATTGAACTCAAAACCATGACGCAATCAGGTAATCGTGCATTAGGTTCGCATATTTTGAATCCGCAATGGAACACGTGATTGATACACCCACATAACCCCATAAATATTTGCTCCATGAAGGATATATATTTGATTCCATATAACTTCCCTGGAAGAAACACAGGCTCCCATTTCAGTTTCAGAATTTTTGAGGTTCCTTACAACCCTTGCAAATTCATTTGTCTTGATAGTACTTCCTCTTTGATTCCCGGTTGCATTTAAGTAGAACAAGAAAACACTGTAACTTCTATGTGATACATATGAGGTTAAAGCATCACTGAACGGTGCATTTCTCTTGATTATGATGCCTTTTTTTATTCAGGTTGCACTTAACTGCCCAAGAAAATACTTCTATGTTAAAAGCACTTCTATGAGGCTTATAGTAGAACTGAAATTTCTAGAAATGTTTGAATTTCATCAACAAAGCACCAATAAGAAAAAAAATATGTTCAATTTTGTGCATTGGCTAAGAATAGAAACACCAGTCGATCACTTGTATTGATAAAGATGAGAAATAAATATTTGAATATCATCAACAAAGCACCAATAAGAAAAAAATAAGTTCAAGTTTGTGCATTGGCTAAGAATAGAAACACTAGTTGATCACTTGTATTGATAAAGATGAGAAATTTAAACAAGCCTAGTGTTAAGAGGGATTAGCAGCCCTGGACTTTTGCTGAGCGCGAACAGAGAAACAAAAAAGTGTGACCCAAAGATTGTACATAAAAAGGAATGGAATTCCATACGTGTTCAAACCGGAACCCCAAAACAGTTCAAGATAGATATTTAGTGATAAAATGTGTTGAATGAGCTTCAATGGATGCCAAATGTCAGCAGCTAGAACTGCTGGCCAGAGCAATCTGGCTTCTGAAATTTTAGACATCCAGATTAACCCATGGTCAATATGTATAATGTCTAAGACAAACTCCTTTATTCCTCTAAATATGTTCAAATGAGTTGGATTCCTTACCCAAGTTTTATTAACATTAGAACACCGAAAACAAATTCTGTTAAAGACAAGTGGAGTTTGAAATATGGAAGTGGAACTTTGGCTTATATATATTACACCTTTCTAGTAACAGACCAATATTCCCCTAAATATCACAGAAAATAGAAAAAACAAGCTCCCATGATCTCTAGAATTAAATATTTGCAAGAAACTTATGCTTGTGGGGTAAGATTATCTGGTCGAAGTCCCTGAATTAGAGTGGATAGGCCTTCCTTACAAAGCCCATCAATCAGTACAGTATATGTAACTTCATTTGCTGGTGCATTTGCTTGCTTCAATCTCTTGAGATGTTCCTTTGCCTCATCTATTCTCCCATGCTTGCAGAGGCCATCCATGAGTGATGAGATCATTACAGTGTCAAAATCAAAACCTCTCTTGAGCGTCTCATTGACAAAACCAAAAGCCTTTATCATGTTATCTTATGTCATTTTTCCTTTAAGTGCCTCCAAAATAGAATGAAAGAAATCTATATGTTGGATTTGGGGTCTGCCCCTTGTAGTTGCAGGGACTTACTTGAAATTTTCTACATTTATAGTGGCTAATAAAGAAGAATAGAATTACTAAATTTGTTAGTGGTAGAGAGAAAAGGTAAGGGAATTCCATATGATGTGGGTTTTCCAACTGAGGATAAGCTTTATTTGAGTGAATATTATTCAAAAGAGGTAAAATAACTCACTTTTGGATAAGAGTCCCTTATGGGATATTTTCTATATCAAAGTTGTTAAAGAGAGAGAAAAAGATAGAACTTCATTAGGTGTACATTCCTCTCGAAATATTTTCTCCCTCTACAAGCTAAAGCTCTCCTCTCTCCTAGTCCTCTCTTTAGAAGCTCTAGAATAAAAACCCATAGGTAATCCAAGAACTCTCAGGCCTTCCATCAAAGGCTAGGATTTGCACTGTGTATAAAATACTACCGGTTAGTAATAGGTAATTGGCCTTTGGATGCGAGCATCGAACTCTCGAATTGGAAGAGATATGCACTAAAAGAAACAGAAGGATTGCATCAACCGCACGGGAAGAATCGGATCTGGAAGAAGGTGTGTGATATTTATCCGATTTGTTTAATTTTTTGTGTTTCTGCTGCTTTTGGGATTCGTGTGTAGAATCTTGCATTGGTATCAGAGCAGTAACAATAGAAATCCGCTTTCGGATTTGATAATTGGTGTAGTTGGTGTGCAAAAATACAATAAATCATTTTTCTTTTCTGGGGCTTTTCAGATGTTCATAGGCCTCGAAGGAGTTGGGAGTGGTTCGAGGACACGCTGCACATGCAAAAGCATGAACAGCGAGGGCGAGGGACACACGGGCAGGCCAAAACATGCCCTAGGCACACTATGGCTGCCATGGTCACTCAGAGGTTCACTGTGAGAGACCACCGCGCACGTCCACGTGGGTATGTATAGAAGCGCACAACCCTACGCGTGCACGTGGGATGTGTACAGCCGCTGGTCCTTCATTGGTCCGTGATAGATTGGCGGGTGCATGCGAAGGTGTGGATACGTAGGCTGCTGCCACACGGTTGCACACACAGGTCACATGCGAAGTGCACCCAAGGTGGTCCTGCATAGTGGACATGAGATGGTCTGGTGGGTAGACGCAGACCATGTGGACTGTCGGCACGCTGTGGAGGTTGGCACACACATGGAGTATGCATGTGTGTTGCATACATGGGACTAATGTGCGTGGCCAGTGTATGCATCTCAGGCCACATGGTTATCTGTGCAATCGCGGGCGCCCAGTTACTATGCGGCCTCAACACTATTGCCTGTGGTGACACGACTGCATGTGCAGCCACGGCCGCCAAATTATTGTGCAGTTGTGGCCATCTGAGGGTGCACTCAATAAAGTGTGGCCGCAGCTTCGCCAGTTTTTTGTGCGGCTTCAGCTCCTTCCCCTCAGGCCACATGTGTTCGTGTGTTGCTGTAGCGGCACAGTGTTTTGTGTGGCTGCAGTCTCACCGAGGAGGCACTTACCAGTGCAGCCTGGCTGCGGACTGTTACAGTGCGGCCTGATACTTCTGAGGGGCATAACTTTGCGTCCGAACATCCATTTTCGGAAAATCTTATAT